TGCTATTTTTCATTAGAAGATAACTTTGCTTCGAGATAATCAAATCAGTTTGTTTGATTTTGTTTAAGCAATCGTTCTGGGGTTCTACCGCCGCCATTGAATTTATCAATGGTTTTTGTAAATTGTTTCAGTGATTTTTCGAGTCAGAGTTTGTTTTTCCTTAATATTGATTGAAGGAAGGATTTTTAAATCCTCATTTTGGTCGAAATTACGGTTTTGATAAAAAAAGTTTATAAGGGAAAAACCATTTTTCGAAAACTGCTCTAAGAGACAACTCAAAAGGGCTATTTTCTAACCTAATGGCGTCTCCCTGAGGTTACCCGTGTTGAAGCCCCACCGTTAATTATCGCTTTTTCCGCAGTATTTCAGTGATTGCTATTTTCCAGCGCTGATTCATGTATAACTCAGAGTTTTTTGCATAGCTAGAGCTGCGATAGTTCAGAGTTAATTCAGTAATGATTGCGTAGAAAATCAGCGCTAAAACTTAAGAATGAAATATTATCAAACTGTGAATTTTAAGAATATTAAGAAACGTGTATGGAAATAATAAGAGCCAGTAGCCTGCCTCAATTGAATCTGGGACATTTTTTTGGTGCGGGATAATTAGCCACGGGTAAAACATGCAAATATGCTTAATTTTCAGCATCAAAGTATTACATGGCTCTTATAGTCATGTTAGTCTATTGGTAAGAGTTCCACTGCATGCTTTAAGCCAGGATAGTCTAGTGATGAGTGTGCCCTTTCTTGGAACAAAATGTCCTTAGATCAAAATGCCAAGATAAAAATTTTGAGAACTGGTCTGTATAAAAATCACCACGAGCATATAATTTTCCTAGTTTTTTCGAAAGTCAGAACAAAAAGCTATGATACGAAAAAAGAACAGTTATACAAAAGTTAATGACTTAGACGGAGTCTAAAAAATTAAAACATCTAATAATCTGGAAAAATTGAAGAAAGGATAGCGTATGAAGCATCTTTTAGTACAACATTGACTTAATTAAACGAGCTAGCAAAAGAGTATCCCGGAATGACCAAAACTTCTTATCTTACAATTTCCATATATGAGAAACTTCTTGTCATACAACTTCATAGAATTCTGTAACCACAGAAAATTGTATGAAATTTCTATGACAAGCATTTTTTATAGATGAAAATTGTATGATAGTTGTTTTTCCATAAACCAAAAGCTTGATTTTTTTTTCTAAATTTATTTTCTGAAAAACTTTGGGTTGTTTTTGTATCCAATCACAAGTTTCAAAGACCTTGGTGTACTCAATGCACCAAAGGTCAGACGGTGTTGCATTTACAATGCATAGAAACGACCTGGTTTGTCTTAAAGCTGTCTTTCACAATTGATATTACAAAAGTAACAAAGTTTTAAATTTTGGCAAATTTTTCAATGATGATTATTTTAAAAATTTGATGTTTTAATTTATTAGAAATTGATTAGGGCATACATAAACACGCCATATAAAAAAATAGGAATTTTCAGCGTTTTTGAAGAAAAATATCCAGCAAAAAGGAAAGAAAAATCCAACATTAATTGATCCAAGACTACGTTATGCTCACAAAAAAAAATAATTTTTGGAAAGTGTTGTTTGCGTACAAAATTAAATTTGTGGTTGAAAAAACAACAACAATTTTAGGGAAAAATTTTTGTGTCGTCATCAAAAAAATGCTAGTCATACAATTTCCATATATGGGAATTGTATGAAAAGCATTTTTTTCAAAAAACGAAAACCCCGGTTTTTTTCATCACCAGGCTGTTTTTTTAAGAATCAAACAGCCGCAGAAAATATTTTATATCTTTTTTCAACCATTTTTCGAAATTGTATGAAAATTGTATGACAAGCATTTTTCCACACAATTGATGTATGGAATTGTATGACAAGCATTTTCGGTGTACAGAGGTCAACCTGGGATGTTTCTAAATTTTGAAAGTATTCAAAGTTCTAGGAGTTTTCATTTTTTTCATCGATTTCACGTTCTAGTTCCGATTTGAAATTTCACAGTCTATCTCGATCGAATCATCTAAATTATCGACTGGCAGTCTCAGTGACGGTTCATTAGAGGTAGAAGATTGATTCTCATCTGAATCTTGCGGTAATCTTGTAGTCTTGTTAATAACGAAGGATTTCCAATCCCGCAGCTACATGGAAAGATAGTGATTGAGCAGTTTTTTGGTTTTGGCAAATCAAGGGTGGCGTTGGATGGCCCGTCTGAAATCTCAGGTATAAAATTTGGGTGAAAATCCATTGGATGACCATCAATGTTTTCTTTGCTATTCGAAGTGTAATCGGCAATGAATCAATCCCTAATCATTTTCATATAAGGACAAAAACCAATTTCTACTCCCAATCGCCTAAGTCGGACGTATCGGAAAGAAGGCATGTTGATCCATGGCAACCTAAAAAAACTTAGTTGGAGTTATTTTTTGGACATTTTAGGTTGTTTTCTGCTTGTCTTTCTGTGGAACTGAAAGATTTTGTGTCGTTGTCAGTAGTTGCCAAAAAAGCTCCCCTCTCGTCTTTTGCCATGGACTTTTTTATATTTCTTTTCCGTGGGAGAGCTCGATGCTTGTTTTACCTGAAGTACACCTTTCTTGTAAAAAAAAGGTTTTTTTAGAAAGCTGGTGTTGACTGATCGAAAGATGCTACTTGTAAAGGGGCCCTGGATTGCGATTTTTCAGTTAGAAGATTTTTTCTGCGAAGGAGAATCCGATTTGTATCAGTTTTCTAATGAATTTGTTCTTCCTTCTCGATCGGGAATAAAAAGGTACCCGTCCTTGTTGCTGTCGTCCGCATTCCAATACAGGGCTCTCTTCTTGCTCAAAACAATTTGAAACCTTATCTAGTAAGGCAGGAAGCGTGATCTCCAATTTATCGAAGTTTGAAGAAATTTGAGAAAACGATCGAGGTCGTTTTTTTGGCGATGGAATGTTTGATTATTCATCGATGCATAAAACTAAAAATTTTTTGGTTGCCCATTGTGTATCCGTTGCGAATTTTTTAAAAAGTTTTTTAGTTTTTGTATTCGGATGTGTTCTAATTTTTTCATTTTTTTTCACTCAAAATTAGCTTACACAAATAATTATTGGAGACAATTGAGTATTAGATCATTTTAAAGCCCTTTCAGTCGTGATTCGAACAACAAAACAAAAATTTCAAAACATTTTCCCAGTATTGGAATTCGGTTTGAAATTTTGATTCATCGTCTAACTACGAGTGAGCAAGCAGAAATGCATTAGTTTAATTTGGTTGCTTACAAGCTTAAAAATGCTTAATTCAAGCCGCAAAAATGTATTGTTTTTTGAATAAAACTAATTTATTTCTTTTTAAGTTATTTCTCTAATCATCAATCTGGAATTTGTTTTTGACAAACTTTTTCCTTTGTCTCAACAGCGTTTTTTTTGTCCTGGGAAAGATGTACTGTGTTCTCCTCTCACATTATTAAACCCATTGTGCACACAGTTTGGTTTTAATCCATGACAGGTTAAGCTCATATCTTTTAACCCTATATTACTTTCATTAAACTCAGTTTTCAAGTTTTTTTGTCATTTTTTGCAAAAATTGTTTTAAATGTGTTTATTTTACTATGCATCTCGAATATGCGTAAGCTCTAATTGTTCTTTCAGATCCTATTTATCAAACCACTCATGAAAAATTGGTTTTAATTTGAAATAAACTTTTTTAAAGACTGGTCGGAACGTTTTTTTCTACTTGCACATCAACCGGCTGTCCTTGTTTTAATTTTGAATTGTTTTGGTGCCAGACCAGTATCAAAGTTTTTCTGATTTTTCTAGATTATTTACATTATTGGTCTAGACCAGTACTGCTGCCTAACATATGTTATTGAAACCCAACTTTGCATAATGAAAAATGTAAAGAGTTTTTCATGTTATTTCTCTAATCATCAATCTGGAATTTGTTTCTGACAAACTTTTTCCTCTGTCTCAACAGCGTGTACACAGTTTGGTTTCAACCCATGACAAGTTAAGCAGGGGGGATTTAAGAGGGGCGGGCGGCGGACGCCCCCCTCCCCCTCTCAGGGATTTGACCCGCTGCCGACCCAAAGGGTCCCCCCTTTGGTACTTTAAAGAAATCCAGTTTTGGCCGACAAAAATTAAAATTTAAGGGGGGAGCGCGCGCCGAAAAAACGCGATTTTTTGGTCAAAATTTTCCAAAAACACCTAAAAATGCCTTTTTTGGACTGTTTTTTCAAAGTTTTGCCCCCTCGAGAAAATCCTAGATCCGCTCCTGAAGTTAAGCTCATATCTTTTAACCCTATATTCTTTTCTTTAAACTCAGCAATTTTTTTTATATTTTGATTTTGTTTTTATTTTCAAATACTATTTAGATCACAATTAAACTTTGAGACGACTTTTTGGAGGTTATTTGAATCGAGTTAAAACAATTGGCAATCATTAGCAAAAATCAAGCCAAGGCAAAAATTCTTTCCTACTTTTTTGAGAGTAGAAATGGAACAAAAAATTTCACATGGCAATAACTTTGTGCTAAACTGCAACTTTTTGACTGCAACTTTTTAAACGCCCAAAACTTTTTCAAATTTGAATTGAAAAAAAATGCGTTCAATTTTTATGCGTGATCACTTCAGACAAATTAAACTTTAAACTTGAAGGGTTTTAGTCAATGATTATTTTAATGTGATTCCAAACTTCCTGTGAAAGGCACAAAACTCCCCCACTCTAAAATTAAGTCGACTGTTATAAAAAAAATTGGATCTCTGGTATGTATAATTTTCATTACAAAAACAACAGCGTATTTTCGAGCATGGATCATTTTCCAAGTAAAAAAGAGACACAATTTAAGATGGTTTAAATGAGTGAATTGCATGGTAAAACGCTTGTGAAATGATATAGTAATACACTTTCAATAAAATTCCCTCGGAAAACTGCATATTTATTAGTTTTTGCATTGTATTAAAAAATGTTGAGCCATATGCTACATCCTCACTGCAAAAATTGTGTACCATACAAATGGTTGACAACTTAATTGTCCATTATTAAAAAACAAAAATTTTTTTTTGCATTTGAATTATTTTAAAAAAGATTTCTGAGTTATAACTTTTAAAATTCAGGTCTTTATTGATTAATTGAAGAACTGCAAAATTGATATAATATTAACTGTTTTGTGTTTGCAATTTAACTGTTTTAAATTTTGGGCTTGAAAATTGACAATAGAGCGAAATGAGTCGAACTGCATCCATTTTCAGAGACCAGGCCGAGAAACCATTCGTCAACAACGAGTAAGTCTTGCAGATCTTCATTTTTTATTTTTCTCAGTTTTGCATGGGAAGAGGGTTTTGAAACATTTTGTCGACCTTTTTTTAGGTCGACCAGATGGATTTTCCGAGTGCTCCAATAACACTATAAAAACCCTATTAACACTATAAAAACGCAGAATTTTCTTTCCCTTCAAAGGTAAAAGCAGGTCTAAAATTCCGTTTTTGACCACTTTTGGAATTTTTTTGGGACCCTTTCGTGCGCGAGGAAGAAGGGGCATCCCTAATTTTGAGTTGCAGTTTTTTTGGGTCGAAAAAGTCAAAAGAAATCTAAAGAATTGATCGATGGAAAAAGACCAAAATGTAAGCTGGTCTCGTTACCACAGGGTGTTTTAATGAAGTAAGATAAATAAGTTCAGTTTTTATATGAAACAATCGTTTTTTAAAAATCGTGAAAACGTAACCATATTCTCCAAAAGGTTGTCTTAAGTTTAGTCACAATTTGTTTAAACTACGTTTTTCTAGTTGTGAATTGTGATTGAAAAATTGCACATTTTTTAGTGAGTTAGGACCGATGTGGTTAACTCATAGAGTAATTTCGGATAGGGTACACCGTCTGCTCGTCACGCTATCTTATTTTCGGCCGGATAGATTCGTGCAACTTCTTAGTCTAATACCGATCCTAATCTTACTCTTATACTTTCCTGGTTTGTTGCGGCTGCTGAAGTTCTTTTGGAGAGGCAACTAATTTCTAAGTTAAATTCAAATCTCTCTGGTGCTGAAATTACAAGTAATTTCAGCACTTACAAATAAGTGGGTTGTTAGTTAGATGGATCATGATTGGTTAATATTAAATACTTTACAGTGGTAAAATATCTAATTTATCCAATCATAAAATATAGTTTAGATCAGGTTCCACCCATCCGGGTTTTACAGAGTTTTTTAGAATTATCTTTCTGCAATTCAAAGGATGGATGATGGACGTTGGTATTTGGCGAACATCGTACTCTTGTCCGGTTTCTCTTGTTAGAGAAGTTCCAGGACGCTGGAGTTAGGGGCATCAATCGTTGTGTCTTCTTGTGACAACGATGGTGTTTCCCAATGAAATCAATCTGATTTCAGAATGGTTTGCTATGACGGGTTTTTCTGTTTTATGTAGAGAACTTCTTTTGTGTTCGACCTCGTCTGGGAATGGCGTGGAGATTGTGCGTGGAGGGGATGCCTTGTAACTCGGATCTGTACGCATACTTGAACATCGAGGTGGTCATTGGTCTAGTTCAATGAAGTCCTTTTCTGCGAAGTCAAGTCGTACTCTAAATCCTTTGAGTTTGTGATTGTGGACGGCATATTGATTTGTGATTGGCCATTCTTTTTCGAGTGTAGTGGGGTCATTTTGTCTTTGGATGTTCGTCTTTGTTGTTGTATGCTGATCTATATACTGCAAAGTATAGTTTACATTTTATAAATTTTTTATTAGTTCAGTGTTTTAATTATGATTTTGGTTAGTTGTTTTCACAAAAGCATTTTGTTTTAGTTCGGTTACTTTGAAGAGTTACTCACCCTTGAGTACCTCTTATTAAAAATAGAAGTGTGGTCACAAAGCGTGGATGTAGCGCGGTGGGTTAGGCCGGCTATAGAGCATGCTCAGGACGTCCTCTCTGGTGGGTTGGGCCAGGAGTGGGAGTATGATTTCGTGCGGTTTCTGTGAGAGGTCCTGTTATGTGATAACGTTTTATGTTGGGTTTATGGTGGTCTTTCTTATGTTCCGTTGGTTGTGTCCTTTTTTTCAAAAATCAAATTGTTTTTGTTATGGGTTTGTCTTTCGACTTTTTTGTGTTTTATTATTTCTTTCTTAGACTTTATAATAGTCTTCAAAAGAATAAATTATCCAGTTTTAAACTGGGTTAATCCGGTTTGGGTACCGTTGGTTTTCTTTTCTTAGTCATGCTGTTATTTTATGATTTGCGGTGTTTAGTAAGCTGCGTTGGTTAGTTTGGCTTAGTATATAATTCCTTTCCAAAAGGGTTAAAGGAAAGTTTGAAACTTGTTATCGTATGTTAGAGTTGTTGAGTGTGAAAACTTGAAACTGAAATTCATTATTTAAACAATTCTTCGTGGGCGAGCTGTGCGAGTTTGGATAGAATTCCTGTGCGAGTGAATGAAAATATCAAAAGGTTAGTACTGCATTTTTATTTTATCAATTTACTACATAGAATTTTAATTTTACTGCTAGTTTTGGGGAAAAGTTAAATTACAAATTTTCATTTTTTATGAAATTTACTGCTTTTGGGGAAACAATTTATAAATTAATTTACTACATTTGGTATAAATTTTATCAGTTCATCTTGTGGAAAATATTAATGAAGTTTACAAGAATTTTAACATGTCTATTTTTTATTTTGCTTTTTTGTTTTTTGCAGATGATCGTGGTATGAAGACTAAAGATCTAAATGAAACATGAGTAAAGAATGGTTAGTATTTATTTTGAATTTATTAGTGAAGAATATGTATAAATTATACTTACCTGTTAGTCGTCGGGGAAAAAACCGTGGGGGAAGATGTCGTGTATCATGTCGGAATTTGTTAGTAATTTTGTTAGTATGCGAATGATGTTTTTAGTTTGAAGCAGTGGCCAAAGCAATTGAAGTGCTTTAATAGTTTTTAGTTCTTCGGTGCCAACTGCAAACTCATAAGGTGTGTTTTGAATGAGATTATATATTTTGTGATTGTATTTAGTATTGTGGATGAATTCTAATATAGGGATTTCTATAGGTTGGATAAATTCATGTGGGATAAGGAAGGGTCTGGATTCTTCTGCATTAAAGGTCTTCGTGATGGGACAAAATATATATATTTGTGTTATTGGGTCATAATTGCGGAGGATGCCGTGGAGGTTAGTATCTTTGATGCAATATGTGAAATTTAGAAAAAATGGCGAAGTGTATTTAGAGTTAAGAAACTGAAAACGGTGGTGTGGTTGTCTTGATAGAGTGTGTAGATCAAAATGATTTTGTATGAAGCGATAATATGTATATGTGTGGGTTTGTTTAGTGCGTAACATAATGTCGTGTGAGCAGTGCAACTCGCGTTCATGTGGTGCAAGGAAGTGGAAGGTTAGTGAAAATAATTGAAATTTTTCTTTAAAACTTTCGTAAGCTTGCATGTCGGTTAGTGCTTCAGAAATGATGTGATCAAATTTTCGATCAAATATATTGAGTGTAAATACATATGGTGTTTTGATGAAAAATTTTTCTGTTAGTTGTGGGTTAGCGAAGCGGTCGTCATCTAAAAATTGGTCTTGATTAGTTCGGATGATATTATGATCGTAACATTCTAGTGTAAATTCGTTAGCTCGGGGTGCAGTGAATGTTTTTAGTGATTTTTTATATCCTATATAAGTAAATTGTCTATGTGTTAGTGGTGTGTTGAGTCGATATAGCATATCTTGATTTCTTTCTATATCGTTATGAGTATTAGATAACGGTAGGCAAAGGGGATTAGTAAAATGATAATATGATGTCCAATGAAGTGTAGGCATTAAAACATGTTCATCTACAAAACTACGTGTGTCGTTAGTGTCATGAGGGGTTTCAAAGTATATTGTGGAAATGAAGGTAAGGTGATTGCTAGAAAATCTTTCGTGTTAGTGTGATGTGGATGATTAATATATTCACGGGCTGTTCCTGGTTTGGTTGGGAATGGATGGTTCGGGAATTTTCTTTTAAAAGTGCGATAAGCTCTATTAGTGCTATTTGATGATTCGGTGGATGTGGATGATTGTGCTAATGATGCAGTATAAGCTGAAGAGGGTGTAGGGTTAGGTGGGTTTGAGGATTCTTTTGTGGAAGAAATCTGATTTATAGTGGGGGTGTTAGGGTGTAATAGTTGTTGTTGTAGGGTGATAAAATTATCGAGTTCTTGGGAGATTTGGGGAATATCTGGAGAATTGGATGATCGGTCTGAATGAAATGAAGAGTAGGTTGGGGTTACTTGTGAAGCATAAGAGGGTGTAGAAATGGACGGGAGTGGGTTATTTGGTGGGATTGGTTGAAAATGGGGTTTTGAAAAAACTGAGGAGTTGGTTTGAAAATTATTGGATGGAGATGGTTCGGAGTCAGCAAATTCATCAGGGGTTTCTATATTAGGGTTATTGAGTTGTGAAATGGAGTATAAAACTGAAATATTTGAATTAGTGTCTGAATTCATGCCTGATGTTATATTACTAGTTGGGAAATCGGGTGGTGGGAAAGCAAAAAGTGGAATTATTGTAATTGGAGTGTTGAGGTTGGTTGGATGGGAATTTGAGCGGTGTAGGGATCCAAGTTGTCGGCTCATCGTGGGCTAAAAAAATTATTTTTTTGAGACTGAAAAGCGGTGGTATGGGGTTGTTCGATAATTTGTTCATATGTATTTTCATCTTGTGAATGATGTGTCATTATATGTTGTATGGGACTTTGCGATATGTTTGGTCTAAAATTTGGATTATGTGTTATTGCTAAATTTCGGAAATTTCGTGGGACTAGGGATAATGGATGGTTATGTGGTAGGGGTGGTAACTGTGGTGCTGTAGGCGTTACCTCTATATTATTATGTTCTTCGTCGTACGTGTTCTGTCTTGTCGCTATTTTTGTGTTATATTCTTTTATTTGTGCGTCTAAAAAAATTTTGTTTATTGATGATGAAAAAATTCCAAAAAATCCTGCAAATAGTATGCGTGCTACACTTGCTTGTCTATTTACTTGTGTGTGTATAGCGCATGTATTATAGATTCCTTTTAAAAGTGAAAAAAGAAATCCTATAAAGTTAAACATTGCGTATAAAATAGTTAATTTTTCTAAGATGTAATAGGGCCATCCTAGAAAATCGAGAATTTCATTTTTTAGTGAAACAAAGCTAAAAATATTTATAGGTGAAATATCTTGTGGTCGGTATTTTTCACCGTTTAGATATATATAGTCCTTAATGTATTTAAAATATCCGCTATAATCTTGTGTATAGATATCTGCAAATCCTGCTGTTTCGGC